CTGCGTAGCGCCTTTTCCAAGAAAAGTACCCTTATAAGGCTCTATCAAGCTGCAACATACCGACCCGACGCCCACCGCGCCCGCCCGCCCATAAACGGACGAGCCGTACCTGATGTTGTTGATAATAGATAGTTGTGTTGTATATTTCCAGGACTAGAAAAACTGATTCGTGACACTTAGGTGAAGTAGTGCCATGTTAGTTGCTTTCTATCACACCGATTTCCATTGTCCATGAGTGGAATCCCTCCGCCGATTAAATATTGGGAGCACTTCTGTCAAAAAGGAAAGACTAGTATCTGCCTGGCTCATCCTAGCTCTGCAATTCAGCTATGTGCTGCTGTTTTAAAGCAAAGCAGCACAACTGAAGTGCATAGAACAGTCTTCTAGTTCCGGCAGGTTCCAGATTTGATGGAGATCACCAATGGGTCTTGCATCTGAATGTTCTTATTTGGTTGTTGTACCAAGCGCTTCCCATGTGCTATCCTAGGGATAGGACAAGAAAAAAAGAGAAAGAAACGAACGCATTTTGATCTACGACGTCTCCATTTTAAATTGTAATGCTTCCAAATAAGTGTTAAAGTTAAATCGTCGTTGAACATTTGGAAGCAATAAAAAGGAACTGTGGTGAGTTATAATGAAGATCTCAATGAGACTGCAACACTTGTGCGTACTCACTTGAGTCTGTATTGCCTGACGTGAGCCTTAGCAGGACGAGCATTTTCCACAACTTCAAAGTTTTCTTGCTCATCTCCTTGCTCCTGGAAGTTACTGAACTTCTTCTTCACTCAACCCTACATTGCACTGCTTTCGAAGTCATTAGGTTTCTAGCAGGGAATCCTCTTTTCTTGCACTTTCTCCATGCCTGATCGTTCTTCTAACAGGACCTCAGTTTTTCTCATGGTTGTCCTCTTTCTTACTTTCACTTTCGACCTTCCAACCATAATATAAATAAGCATTTATTTCTCTGTGTACCTCCCTGAGAGGAATAACTTTCTAATTAAAGTGGAGACAGTAACATGCCCGATTACCTTTTCCTTCATAATCAAGCACGCTTCAACGTTCTTTCTAATTGAAAATGTGGATAAACCGATACAGCCTGGGGGGGGGGACCGACGTTTTGTGCCAATGGGCAGGTGTCCGAAGATAAAACAATCAGCAACAGAAAACGCCCTGTGCGGGCCTTCCCTCCTAAAACCACTTCGCTGGAATGCGACGACATCAACTGTACATCGCTGTTAATGTGGACACCAAAAACCTCGCGGCCCATTTCCATTTCAGCCTCGCTACGTCACCACTTTCAACAACAATATGATGCAAAAGGTTTAATTAAGGAGTAATATCACTACAATGGAGTTCTTATCTGACGGTGGGACGGCCTTACGACCACGATGGCGAGCGGTCCAACGGTTGCATGTCGGTGGAACGGTGGAGGTTGGGGTGGTTATCACCAGTGTCTCTACGCTCTCTGACGTTGATTCTGCGCTTGAACACGTGCCGCCACACCATCTACTCACACTTCCGTTAGTACTCTCGCCGGCTCGATAATTGCTGGCGCTCCCGCTCAACTGATTTCTGCATTATTTTTGCTGTATTTCTGTTGTACCCAGCTTTTGGGAGCTGATATTCTTTTTCGACTTCAATTCGGAAAGGTGAGCATGTTTGCTAGAAATAGATTACATTTTATATGATTTCAGCATGAATTTCTCTTAGGAAAACTGGTTTCATTTCCCTACTTATGCATTTTTCGAATTCCTCTTCGGATGTCGTCGTTTATTTCGATGTTATTGACTAAAGTCATGTAAAATAAAAGCTACTTTTAGTAAAACATATTTACCTCCTTCTTAGTGAATCCGAAAGAAGAAAAAGTTTAGCTTTTAGACCCCCTCAAATCA